GTTAGGGAATCATGGGAACTGTATTTTATTGTGGCACCAGAGTTCTCTGACAGAGAAGGCTCAATGTCTCAGAAAAAAAACAATTCCCATGATTTCCTAGCACTAACCCTAACCCTAAAAATGGACTCAATTTGCACTATTTCTGGCAGTCTGCAACCCCCCTTAGTTTCTCTCTCTCTTCTTCTTACTTTCCCCCATTGTCTCCAGTTTACTCTAGTTGCAGCAAACTGAATTCCGAGTACAAAAGCAGTCTACACTCAGTTAACACAGCAGGGATAGGAAAGGATATTGCTTGCTTTCATCTCTGAAATATTGCAGCAGCTGCCTGATCCAACCGGGATTTTGATCTGGTAATGAAAATGTCCTCCACCTGCCTTCTACAAGGCAAGGAGCTAAACATGAACACCTGCAAATTGCTGAAGACCAAATTCTTAATAAAGGGACAACTCTAGGGGCTGGTTCATAATCAGCAGCCCTGGCATCCATGCAGCAGAAGACAAGGCTTCTGTCTTTTTAACAGTTATGTCATTTAACTCAACAGGTGTAACTTGTAGTGATGATGTAGCAGAGTTGCAGGTGTGCTGAACATTGCACCTGTTGAAATTCCCTTTCCTCCACAAGGTTCAGCAGTCCTGCCTTCTCATCACCAAACACCTAGAGAAACACAGCAGACCCATTCCTACCTTTACAATCTAAGACAAATGTCCTGGGTTAATAAATCCTTCATGGAGGCTTTGGATCTCTCATTCTTTCTCCTCTTCCATCCTCTCTGTATATATTTGCTAAGTTCTTTGTTGCAATGGGAAAGTATTGTCCTTAACAGATCTGACTGTACTGTGCTGTTGCCTGATTAAAGATTAATTTAGGGCTATCATTTATTTCCTGAGTTCAGAGCCGGTCAGACAACAGCTACACCTGCAATTTGTTTGTGAACTCAACTTCTTATGGCCAACTGTTAATGGATGGAGACTTTTCTGAGCTCCCCACCCCACCCTTTTCTCTCTCTCCCCCCCCCAATGTACATTGATGTGTAAATTTCATTGAAAGTGAAAATTGTTCATGCACCTGCTGAAAGAGCCAGGAAGAAAGGCTTTCATGTGTTCACAACCATATCGACAATACTGTAAGAAGAGGAAATTTTCTCTCCAAGTTCCCCCCCCCCCCATTGGGGAGGCAAAAGGAAAGATAATTTAAGGGTGTTCCAGCTTTTTATTTGATTTATTTGTCCAGCTTTTTTGTTTGATTAAGTGTGCTTTGCATAAATCTTGTCCCTTTTCTATTGATCTGGTCTTTGTTTTGTGTTTCCTTCTCCTCCCACAGCTTAGAGAATAACAGCCAGGAAAGTGCACTTTGTATTTTGGGGTTAAACCAATAAAAGGTAGGCTATGTATGCTTTTATTTTTGTGGCAGACTGAAGCACCAAGGGCAGAAGTAGATGACCTGAAGCCAAGGATGGGGCAGTCATGCTTTTAAAAGGCATATTTCACAAGAGGGAATGTTAGCAACTACAACTTGTCCATAGGATGAGAAAAATTGTGTCTGAAAAAAAAATTCAGCATGCTTCTTTAAATTATAGAGATGCTCAAACTACATTAAATCTTAAGTGGAGATTAGACCACAGTATGCTACCAAGGAAAAGATAATACTGTTTTTGTCAGAGCTCTGAAACTACCACTACAGACAGAGAATTTGAAACTATAGAAATTAGGCCTAAACTACCTTTTTAGTATGAAGGGCATTCCCAGGTTGAGGTACTACCACAAAGAAGTCTCTACAGTTCTCAGCTCAGGATAATTTGGTTAGCTAAACTTTCCACTGACTCAAGACATGCTGATCCTGAGACAACAGATAAGATGGCACCACCTTCTCATCCCATTTAGTGAAGATATCCAGACTGTCATTTGAATATTACTGCAGTCCTAGCAATAACCCAGCATTTTCCACTGTACCAACAGGGGAACAAACAAGCTTCAGGGGAGCAGAACAAACCACAAATGGCGCAGCTCTGTCCTCCACGATTTCACCAGAGTTTGCCCTGAACCTGCAACCCCCTATGATATTTGAAAGCAGCAAAAAAAAGTGGAATAACGGAGGATTAATTGCCAGATCAGGACAGCTAGAATAGGAAGTTGATTTTTTTGCATTTGTTATTGTTGTTAGCTATCTTTGAGTCACCCTCAATTCATGGCACTCCCATACATGTGACATCTCCAAGACCTCCTGTCTTTCACTGTCTTGTATATTCAGGCCCATGACTTCCCTAATTAAGTCTAGGCATTTGGCATGCAGTCTTCCTTTCTTTTTACTGCCTTCTACAATTTCTAGCATTATTGTGTTTTCCAATATTCATGCCTTCTCATGATGTGATCAAAATACGTCAGTCTCAATTTAATCATTTTGGCTTCCAGGCAGAGTTCAGGCTTGATCTGTTCAAAGACCCATTTGGTTGTCTTTTTGGCATATCCCAGTGTTCTCAGCATTCTTCTCCAGCACCACGTCACAAATGAGTTGATTCTTTTAATCTGCTGTCTTCACTATCCACCTCTCACATCCATACATGGTGATGGGAAATTCAGTGGATTGGACAATTCTAACTTTAGTGCTCAGTTGTATATCATTACTCTTTAGGACAGGGGTCCCCAAACTACGGCCCGCAGGCTGGACCTGGCCCGTCAAGGCCTTCTTACCAGCCTGTGGCTGGTCCTGCCGCCACCACCACTTGTGCGTGCATGCCACCAAGAGCCATTTTTTCTTCCAAAATGGTGTCCGAAGTTGTGCGCATGTGTCCGGCATCGCACACACATGCGCACTACTCTACCGCCATTTTGTTGGAAAACAAAATGATGCCTGAGTTCTGCACATGCGCGCGCGCCTCCAGCCCCCCAGAGATCTGGAGGCCAGTGAACCGGCCTTCAGATCAAAAAGTTTGGGGACCCCTGCTTTAGGATCTTGTCTAGTTCTTCCACTGTTGCCCTTCCCATCCCTAGTTGCCTTCTTATTTCTTGACTGCAGTCTCCTTTCTGATGTTTGATCCAAGGTATGGGAAATCTTTATCTATTTCAATTTCTTCATTGTGTAAGTTGAATTTTTGTACATCTCCCCTGGTAATTATTTTGTGGAAGCCTCACAAGTACAAAAAACACATGGTGACCTTGGCCTGGCCAATTCAACTCTCAGGGTTATCTTGGGGACAGAATGGGAGGTTGAGATATTTTGTTTACTGCCCTGAGAAAGGATGTAAATAGTAAGTAATTTAATGAATGACATTTGCTGATGTTTCCTTCAAGCAAAGTATAACATGTTATTTTTTTCTGCAGAACCCATCCTCATAAGTGATAAAATCTTAGATTTAGGCAGACCACTACAACAGTGAGTACAAGATTCACTTGCAGATTTCAAAAGATAGGGGTGGAGGGAGAGAAGCACTTGATTGTTATTGAATAGAATAGTTTTAGACTTTTGGTAAATTTTTCTTTTTCATTCTCACTTGGTCTCAACTTTACTGCTCACTTTCTTTGTCCTTCCACTTGGCTACAATTTGCATTCAGGTCAATTAAAAAGTCATTCGTTTACCAGGCCTGTGAACCTGCAGGGGATGCACAGCAGACAACATACACATGTGAAATTTGACAAAGGCTCAAGAGTAGCCTGTTACATTCAGTACCAAAAGCAATCCTAGAAAAAACTCAGTAAAAGTTATTTCAAATAATGATCTGAAGAAATAGATTATTCAGGCTACTGAGATTACAGTGATAGAAGATTTTGTCTCATATTTTCTGAAATTCTCATGAAAAAATTTGTTGGGACAGAACTAAACTTTTCAAGCAAGTAACTGAGTGACCTTGGGCAAGTCATATGCTCTCAGTCTCAGGAGAAGGCAATGGCAAACCTCCTCTGAACAAATCTTGCCAAGAAAACCCTATGATAGGTTTGCCTTAGGGTCGCCATAAGTTTGAAATGACTTGAAGGAACATAAGACACACACAGTGTAGGGCCAGTGTGGTGTATTGTGTGCATTGGGAAAAAGAAAAGAAAAGAGGAAATGATACCAGGAAAGAAAAGGACAAGAGCAGATGAATATTGGCATAAAGTTCACACATAGTGTTTCATATATATATATCAATTTACATGTATAAATAATTGCCATAAAAAAAAGAAAAATGCAGTGCATCTTACCCCAGTGTTGAAGGCTGTGATTAGGTAACCTCTGTGCCTACTCAGTTTGCCAATGGGCAAATTCAAAGTCCCTGATCTGTCTTATGATTCATAGTAATAGAGTTGGATAGGACTGCAAGAGCCATCTAGTTCATTCCCTGACATGCAGAAATACACAACTGAAGCACTCCCAAAAGACAGCTATCCAACCTCTATTTAAAGTCCTCTAAAGAAGGAGACTCCACCACCCTCTGAGACAGTCTATTCCACTGTTAGCAAGCGAGCAATTCTTCCTAATGTTTTAGGCATGAATTGTTGGAAAAGACAATAATGTTAGGAAAGGTGGAAGGAAGTAGAAAGAGAGGAAGGCCACATGCTAGATGGATGGACTTTATTAAAGAGACCACAAATATGAATTTGCAGGAGCTGGGCAGAGCAGTAGAGGAAAGGGGGGTCTTGAGATGTCTCATCCATAGGGTCAGCATGGGTTGAGATCAACATGAAGGCAGCTAACAACAACAAATCAAAAAAATACCTGGCCATCATCACAATGAAATGTACCTCAGAAGACAACAGAGTTTGGGATCTTGCAGGATAGATCTAATCGGTGTGCAAAATCATAAAATAATCCTGAAAGAACTAGAAGCTAGAAAATACAAAAAATCAGAACAGAAAAGTATATTGGAAATTATGGATAGAAAGATAAAGTGTGGCAAAGTAATGAAGACCTTTAAAAGGAATAGGACAGGCCTCTCCCTGAATGAAAAAAACAAGAGAGTGACCTTTCCATGTATAAAAGTCAGCTAAATGGGCAGTTGAATCTAGCTTTAACACTGAGTATGGGACCATGTGTAGCACAGTGGCCTGAGCATTGGACTACAACTCAGGAGACAAGGGTTCAAATCCCTGCTCAGCAATTGAAATACACTGGGTGACCTTGTCATGTTCTTTTGGCCTTAGAGGAAAGCAAAGGCAAACCATAGCTGAACAAACCTTGCCAAGAAAACCCTGTGATAGGGTTGCCTTAGGGTCATCATAAGTCAGCAATGACTTTAAGGCACATGGCAACATGGGACCATGTCTTCTACTGCATCTCCAAGGCAGGAGACTAGGGAGATACAGGGGAACCAGTATCTCTCATCTGAAACAATGGTGTCACTCTGCCTAGTGGTCCAACCTACCCTGGAAAAAGAAGTAGTGCTGGATTTGGAAGGGGGTGAAAGCAGAGCAGGAGAAAACAGCTCAAGTTGTTGCTATATTTATTTATCCCATCTTTCTCTGTTTGGGACTCAAGGAGGCAGTTAAAGCAAACATCATTAAACACTGATAGCATAGGAAAATTAAAAAGGAATCAAATCATCCTGAAGTTAAACCTAGTTAAAAAACATAAAGAAAACAACAAACAAAAGTGTAACATATTATAAAAGGGGTTGTGGTGGCTTAGTGGTTAAGATACCAATTCTGACAATTGGAAGATTGGAAGGTTGGCAGTTCAAGGCCCAAATGCCGCATGGTGGGGTTAGCTCCCATCACTAGTCCCAGCTTCTGCCAGCCTAGCGGTCCGAAAGCATGCAAATGCAAGTAGATAAATAAGTACCACTTTGGTGGGAAGGTAACAGTGTTCAGTGAAGTTATTCTGGCCACATGACCCACAGAGTACCATAGTCCTCAGACGATGCTGGCTCTTTGGCATAAAGTAATGGAGATGAGTACCATCCCCTACAGTTGGTTACGACTAGACATTCATGTCAAGGGACTACCTTTACCTTTACCTTTTACTTCTTTCCCTTGGGAGGGGGGAGAATCAATTCTCAAAGGCCTGCTGGAATAAAAAGGCTTTTGCTTATTCAGAGAAAGTAAGTAAGTAACTAGACTGTGCTTGTCTATCCACTCTGGGAAGGGCATCAAAGAGCTTGAGAGCAGCTGCTGAGAAGGCCCTTTCCCATGTGCCCACCAAATATAACTGTGAGGATGGCAAGACAGAGATCAAGGCTTCCCCAGAACATCTCAAAACAGGCAGGTTCATATGGGCAGATTCATACAATGGGTAGAGTAGTCTTTTATACAAATTTCACTTAGATCATGTAGGATTGAACAAATCCTCTAGGAATAAACTAGGGGCTGAGCAAATGAGTGGTCTTGACCTAACCTTGTGGCAAAACACTGCAGCCTGATTTTTCTACCTGTCTGCATAAGGCTTCCCTAAGCAAGGTCAACAGAGATGAATAGGAAATTCAAATAACCCCTTTCTTCCCTTGAAAAAGGACTAAAGCCACAGCCCAATGATTCCCACCATCCATGCAACAATAACAGGCCCAACTTTTCACCCCGGCAGGAGACGATATGGCCCAACAATAGTTGCACTGTGCTGTAACTTGCTGGAGATCTGCCTAGAAAAATCATCAGAAAGTATTTTAAACCCAGCATAACATCCATATTTATGGATCACCTTCTGTTTTACTGGGGCTGAACCCAGAGCACTGCTAGGAGGCCTGTTTTTACGTCCTTCCATAAAAAGGCTCACGTTTCACATGTGAGAAGATTGGCGTCTCGGCAAGCTAATTAATACTGGTTCTCCTCCACCTCTGGATTTTCCACGCAGGGTTATGCTGGCGACAGGTTGTCTGTTCCTTCCATAAAGACCATGGTGTTAAACCGTTAGTCTCACTTGTTGACAATGTGCTAGAGGCACAATGGGGTAAAAGGCGAGGGTGAATGGAGGGATGCTGAGCCGAGATACAGGATGGAGGGGGGCAGAGCAAAGGGAGGCCCTTTGTAGAGCACTTTCGTCCAAGGTCTGTGTTATGTCATTATCCAATTAGCTTGTTGGCAACAGCACTTCATTAAAGAGACAGTTTCCATCCATGGCTATAATCCACTTACTTAAAAAAAAAAAAAAAAAAAAGAGGGGGAGAGATCTGCACTTGGTGGTCATGTTCTGTCACTTCAGGAGAGATGAGAGGTATTTAAAAAAAACACGACATTTTGAGGGAGGAGAAAGGTGAGAAAGATCAAGGGTAGGAGGACAAAAATGCTCAAGGCAGGAACTCCAAATACTTCCCTTTTTTAGTTAATTATAGATCTTAGACTATCCTTGATGGTCAGCATGGTGTAGTGGTTTATGTATTGGACTACAGCTCTGGAGACCAAGGTACAAATCCCTGTTCAGCCATTTCGATTGGGTGACCTTGGGCGAGTGACATTCTCTCAGCTTTAGAAGAAGGCAAAGGCAAACCCCATCTGAACAAACCTTGCCAAGAAAACCCTGTGATAGTGTTGCCGTGTGTTTGTTTGTATGTCTTCAAGTCACTTGTTGATTTACGGTGACCCCATAAATTTCATAGGGTTTACTTTAGGCAAGGAATATTCAGTTTTTTTCTCTGAAATATAGCCAGTTTTGCCAGTTCCTTCCTCTGAAATGTAGCCTACAACATCTGGTATTCATTGGCAGTCTCTTATCCAAGTATTAACCAGGGGTGCCACTGTCTAGCTTCCAGGATCAGGCGTGATCTGGTGCCTTTAGGGTATTTAGGGTTGCTTTAGGGTCTTCATAAGTCAGAAATGACTGGAAGGCACACAATAAATTGGCACCATGTCTTCTACTGCATCTCCAAGGCAGGAGACTAGGGAGATACAGGGGTGATGTAGAATTTTCTCCTCCAGTATCTCTCACCTGAAACAATGGCCTCACTCTGCTAGTGGTCTGGCCTGCCCTGGAAAAAGAGGCAGTGCTGGATTTGGAAAGGGATGGGAAGCAATATAAAAGAGGGCAGCACAAGGTGTTGTTATCTTTATTGTTCTTATTGTTGTTTGCCTTCAAGTTATTTCAGTCTTATGGCAACCCACAAGTGAACCTATCATGAGATTTTCTTGGTACTATTTGTTCAGAGGAGGTTTGCCATTGCCTTCACTTGAGGCTTAGAGCATGTGACATGATGGGATTTTCTTGGCAAGGTTTGCTTGGAGGGAGTTTAGCGTTGGCTTCCTTTGATGCTGAGAGAGTGTGACTAATGGATTTCCATAACTAAGCATGAATTCAACCTAAGCCACTGTACCCTACTAGCTCTCTGTTTAGGATACAAAGACTCAGTTATCCAACCCTTCATTTTGCCAATGAGTGTAGCCAACTAGATGCCCCAAGGAAGCCATAACTGGCAGGCTGATAGCACAGTTGGCCATCCTCAGCACATGGATATTGAAGAGACATTCCCTTGGAACATAGAGATTCAGTTTGTTATATATAATAGCTCAGAGCTTCCAAGATCTGTATCTTTTAATCAGAGCTTGGAAGTAGCTATTCACAAATCATGAATACTTGGAATTCATTCCTATGTCCATTCACCAAGTTATAGGTATGTTACATTTTGATTACAAATTTTAAAGCAGGATAGCATACTCCCCTTGCAGTGTAACTGCTTTAGTAAGATTTATTGTTATGAAGGTGTGGTCATAACTAAACTAAACAGTGGAGGAGGAATATCACAGAGTTGATGTGATTGCTCATGATTTGGCTTGTCTGCTCCTTCGTGATCTTTTGTGAATGTTGACATGACAATAAGGTGGATGGGAGATAAATGAGTTTTGTAGCCATCAACATGTAGCATCCAGATTTTTAAAGAACTAACTAAAGAGTAACTATATTATTTCCTTCTGTAATATTTTTTGAGCGAAATTGTACTAGTCTTTTGTAGCAAAACCTAAAAAGAGTCTGATAGCATCTCAAGGGGCAATAAAATTGTATTTGGAATAAGTTTTCCTGCACGTATCTTAAGTGGGCTGTGGTACACGAATGCTTATGCCAAATAAAATGTAATAGTTTTAAGCTGTCCTGAAACACTCTTTGTTGTTTTATAAACTATAACTAGAACAGTAACTAACTCTGTGGGGCACTTAGAATAATTACTTTGACTTATTACTTTTAAAATGATTTTTCCAAGCCACATTTTTGCTTATGAATTCCAAAGGTCAGTCATATTTTGCTATGTTGCACATCAGCCAGTGTGGTCTAGTGGTTTCAGTGTTGGATTAGGACACTGAAAGACTAGGGTTTGAATACCCACTGGGTAACCTTAGGCAAGTCACACTCTCTCAGCCTGAAAGGCAGTAACAAACTTCCTTTGGAGAAATCTTTGAAAACTATGGTAGGGTTGTCACAAGTCAGAGTTGACTTTGAAGGCTCACAGTAGCAAAAGTTGCATGAAGAAGAACTTCTGTTTCAGTTCCTTCTGGACCAATTGTTACTTAGTGACAGCCATTTTGCATGCCCAGATTGGTATGTTTCAGTTGCAAGAAAAGGTCGATAGAAATGTGTCCTCTGCTGTTTCTCAAGAACTATATTCAAGGGCCAGTTGGATGCATGTTTATTCAAAAGTAAATCCCAACAATGTGTCCAGTTTTCAAGTAATTGACTAACTGGTGGCTGGATTCTGGAGGTAATTTTGAAAATGGGAACTTTCTCTTGCTGCCTTCTCATGACTATCCTGGAGGTCACCCATGTGAAGAAAACAACAGCCCAGATCTGCTCCTTTTCCCTCATTAAAAATACTGTAAAATATCACACTTTCTTTTCAGATGAATAGTTTCGTTTTCACAATACTGGCTACCTCTCTGCAAAAGGAAATAGTTGTCTCATAAATAATTTTAAAAAGTGGACATGATGTGGGAGGATTAGGAGAGCAAATGATCTGAGGTTGAGCAGATGGAAAGGACTGTGTTTTGATCAACACAAAAGAAACCATTTGCTGTCCAAGGAGTAGCAAATATGAGAAGAAGCAACAGATACAAAGGAAGACTCCACAACTATGGCATTCACAGCAAGAGTCAAACCTTTGGTCTTGGAAACACAATTAAATTGTAAAAATGCAGCATACTTTAAAAGCAATGTTTGAGCATTGGAAGACTAGAATGTGAGTTCTC